GAATCACAGTTTTCGGAGGAACTTACCGTTGGTGTGGTATTGATCAGTTGATCCAGCACCATCCTTCCATTTTCCCCCTTTATTCTTTACTTTTTCTGCTAGCTCTGCATTAAGTTCAGTTCCAAAACTTTTAGGCCTTTCCTTTAATATAGAAGATCACGTGATAGCTAGTGAAGTGGGCGGATACAGCTTTTCACCTGTATTTCTATATTTTTTTCACGTTACTACTCTTGATTTTAGCTCGAACGCTATTTCGCTGCAGCAATGGTGCCACTGTTTCCTGCTGCCTACTTCATTCTGTACGGTTATGGACGAGTGCCTTACGTTCGCTCCCCTCCACGTCATTGGTACTGAGATCATCAGAGCATTTTACAATTGTTTTATTCGATCGTTTTATTCTTCTCATTGCTGATCTAGCTGTAGCTTCTTTATTCTTCTCCTTACACATTTTTTCTTGTTTACGTTGAATGTGGACGCTTTAGGGGAGTGCAAGGAGTCGTCAATGACTACGCTCGTCCGTTTGTGATTGGAGATACTCTTGCAAAGACTGCTCGAGCTTGCGTTTACCTCATCACGGCTGCTCTTCTCGCAGGTGAGCTCATGATTGTTGATGATTCACTTGGTTAGCTAGAAGGCTCATTTTCGGAGCTGTTGCATTCGAAGGCAGGTGGCACGATAACTTGTGTGTTTAAGTAGGGAAATGTGTCACAAAAAAAATCGGGTCCCTAGAGAGCCATTTTCGTAGGCGATGGGAGGCAGCCTAGCGAGCCTTGCCCATCCCTTAGACGCCTCTTACCTCCGCTCGCCCACTCATTGGCTCCTTCACCCTCACTGTGTGGCAGATAGGGAAGAGCAGAACGTTCACGTTGATGACGCCATCCCATATGTAACTGTTTCGAAGCGAAAATCACTGGAGAAAGCGAGGGTATTTTTGCAGCAGATTTTAGACTGTTTCCTGAGTTGTTTTTCGCTATTGCACCACGTAGCATCTATTTTCATTACCAACGGGGTACTATTTATCGCAACATCTGCCTCCAAAATGTGTGGTACTCGGCCCGTTCGGGCTCTATTTGTTTTCTTACATTCTATCTTCTTCCCCAAATTGAATGACCACGTAAATTTCTATCTAGATTTCTTGCGAGAACCGCAGACTGTCACCATACAAAACATTTTAGGCCTTCTTCACTTCAACACCAACGATGTTGGACTCACAGAGGCTTTCCGAATGGTGTTTGAACTCTAAGTCTTTGAAAAGAGATCGTTCTTTTGTAGCTTGGTGCAGTTTTGTTGTTTTGTGGTCGTTCCGTCCAATTAGTATGTGCATATTTAGGATGATTTTAATACATAGACGTGTAGCTTTGGCATGATCCGGTTTCGAATAAATATTTCTATGATTTGTGTTTTTGTTTGCTGCATAGCTAGTCTATTCATAACTACCTTGTAGTGGGAAGAACTATCGTAAATTCTATAGATGACTGTTAGGTCTCTAGTGACATGTCAAAAAGGAAATCCAAGACACAGAAGAAGAAGTTTTTTGCACATCCCAAGAACAAGAACAGGATATTCAAAAAGAAGATTCTGCGAGATGTTCCCGTTAAAGCTGGCTCAACGTTGCGAAAGCGAGGAACGTTTATTGTTTTACCTACTTCCGGATGCAACACTATACCCAACTGTAATCACGGTGAGTTTTTTTTTTCATCAGGTCAAGTAAATGCTAATCCAGTAGTAGCTTCCGGAAGAAAGAAAACACCTAAACTAATGTCTGGCAAGATGCCAAGTTCTTCGCGCCATGGATACTCTGCATGTCTGCATCCCCTGGGGAGCCCCGCGAGCATAGCATACGGCCGCTTTCGGGGCGGCCGCAGCCGGGGAGCTCCCCCAATAGGGGGCCCCTCCCTTGTTGGGGGAGCATAGCATACGGCCCCTGGTGTTCGATTCTGTCATCATATTGGTTTAATATAACAATTCTTGAGTATTGGCTGATTCCTCACGGCTTCTGTAGGTGAGAGATGTAGGAAAATGCTTGAGCTGTTCTGAAAGAAAAAGTCAAATTTTTGGTCAAATGAAGTGAGCGGGAAGATGGGGTGGGTAGTCACAAAGATGTATTAGTTACGGTGTCAAGAGCGAACACTAGGGGTGGAATGATTATTCAAGAGAATAGCCCCTTATATAACACTCTCTCACTATCATGCCATTCCTCTTGATCCTTCTTCATTCCTCACTCTCGCACGTTCGCTCACACCCCCTCACACCTCCCCCTAGTGACCTTACGGTCACTCATCATAGGAGGTCTACCGTGTTGACTCTTAGTACACGACCAAAACTCATTTATTCATCGATTTATTGCCCAACCCCCGAGGGTTGAGCGGCCCCGCGTCTTCATCGCTATGCCCGCTACTAGAGCGGCTGCGATTCAGACGCCTCGGGGTCTCTCGGCCGCGATAGTTCGGGCGGCCACGGTGGCTTCCGCTTCGCCTAGAGCGGCTAGCTCGGCTTCGACTAGAGCGGCGGGCCCGGCTTCGACTTCTGCTCCTGGAGTGACTTCTAGGGGATCGACTTCGCCTCGAGCGACCGGACCGGCTTCGACTCCTGCTCCTCGAACGGCTTCGGGTGGATCGGCTGCAACTGACTGCTTCCTTGAGTCTCCGGATTGCCGCCCACAGCGGTTTATTGCGCTGTGGACGGCGATCCTGGAGACTCAAGGAAAGAAAGATGGGGTGGGTAGTCACAAAGATGTATTCAGGGTTGCTTTCGGTCACAGCCAGATCAATATGGATATACGAGTGATATACGTATTGCAAGGAAGTGATACTGTTTCTTGGCGCGTTTTTAGGCACATTCTGCGATAGCAGAAATGGTTGTGAGGTTCAAAAAGGGAGCAGACTGATTTGCCTGAGGAGTAAGGAAGAGGAGAAACCATTGAAAACTTCGAAATTAATCCCTCATTTTTTGTGCCAAAATTTGGTATTTCAAGAGACACTGGGCGCTGAAGCGAGAGGACGACCGATGGAGGTGAGGGGTCGCAGCGGGGAGCGAGACTGCAGAAACCGCAACGGTGGGGTACAAACCTAGGGACTCGTCCAATTATCTATTATAGTTGAATGTGCCTCAGCAGCCTCAGCGTTCTCGCCATTGCTAAAAGTGGCAGTTGTTTTCGCTGTAAATAGCAGAGTACATTTTGGAAAGAAATGTGAGTGCCTCTCAATACGCACGTGTGGGGGAAGGGCAAAAAGAGTCATTCTTCCACCACATCTGGGAATTTACATAATGCTTTGTCGTACACAGACCGAGTGCTCTCAGCTACACATTGAAGAGCTTATTCTAATTTGAGATAAAAGGATGAAGTATTTCCCGTCTTGATCAATCCTTTTTTTGGAATGGCATCACGCACTGTACTTCCATTTGTAAATTTATAGTAGCTAGTCGGCTTATACAATGACTTTTGGGGCCAGCCAATGGACAGGTCAGTGCTTTTACCCCTCCCCTCCGCAAGGTACCCACTTCATAGCCGAACTCGCGCGCAGCTCCGAGGGCGCTCGGCTTGGCCCCGGCGCCTGACGCCATGAACCCGTGGTTTTTCGACCCATAGATCGCGCGCGTGGTAAGTAGCGCCACTACACCACTTCCCCATCCTAATTTACTTGGAAATCCTTGGTGCCTTCAACTCCAACGATATCAGAAGAATTGATCACGAGAACATGTCGCACGGGAGCCAAACGAGGTCCGGATCGTGGATGGATCACGACGTTGTTGGAAATGCTGCTGACGGCAAGGGGTCACATGCATGGTCGCACCTTACTCGCCTCTCAAGACAGCATCCATCGCCTTAACCACGTTGACGACAACGCGCGTTTTGGGTTTTTGCGCCGCGTGGGACCACGGCGATTTTACAGGCGCCGCCGCTCACATGAAACTCCGTGAATTTTGAGCTTCACTACGCAAAAACTCGGATGAAAACAAAATGTTCGAATGATATTCGATGTGTCAAACTTAACAGAAGGAACAACTGTAAAAGTTCGATCGAAGTCGAACCGTTTTCTGGCAATGAAAAGACGAGTTTCAGTTGCTTTTGCTATAGTAGTAAACCTCAAAATTACTTTTCACACGGTTGCTCCACTAAAAACATATATCTTGCTATATGTGTAGGTCTGTACTTACTTCTACTACTCTTTTTTATGACCAAGGTTGTCAGAATATAAAGAAAACTAGGAATGAACACAATTGGGAAATTCGTAGGACTTGGAAAACCTTCGCTAAAAAGGAGCATATTCAACCATTCGAACCTCGCCGTGTCTAGTCATATTATGGTGTGGTCTATAGAATAGATGCAAAAAATTAGAAAAGAAGTAGCGCATGCGCGAAAAAAATTAGTATCCCACACGGTCCTCAAGGTGTGAAGCGCATGCGCTGCACAATGTCGTCAACGTGTTAAGCAATTAAAGGAATCACATAGCAGCTTCAAACTCTAGCAATAACAATAACGCTAGGCCCCCGGGGTCGGCGGCGATGGAGAGATGACGTCATATTTTGAAGTTGGTAAGGTTTCTGAATAAGAGCTTGCTTGGTTATGGGAGGACATCTAAGAATTACATGCTGTACAACTGGAAAATTTTGCTAACATAAGTTTCTGAAGATGCCATCTGACATCACAAAGTAGCATTTTATCGAGCAAGGCCGTTTTGCGTCTCCCACCGAATTAGCCCTACTAACTTGAAACTTGATTAATGGCCCAACAAATGTAATTGGGGAATGTATTCGATTGTTGGACGAGTTTGATTGACTTCTCCCATTCATTTTCTGTTTTGATATAGATAGGGACTAACAAGGAAAGGATCCCAAGGTTGGTAGATTTGAGATCAGCGTTCAAAGGCACATCTAGGGATATGCATCTTTTTTGAGTGGCTATGGCGACCTGAGACCTTTCCTTGTAATTAACTGGATGTGGAGTATGAGAGCAGAGCTTGGGAAATGCCTACTTCCTGAAAAATGGAAGGAAGTTCATTGTGCTTCATTATCTCTCTTCCAAATGGTTTTTGGTTTTCCATAAGCGCAGTTTGTCGTCAAAGCTTTCGATTCAGGACCGTGTCTGCTCTTTGGAGAAAGAGAAAATGGGAGCATAAAGTCTCGGTATTTCGCTTGTGCTGTTTACAGGTAGGTACTCCTTTGGACATGATTTGATGATTTATAGTTTGATAAATGTCCAGTTTTTCAACAATTTGCGCTCACAATGATTAATCCTTCGACGTAACATGTAAATCTGCGATTGGGAAGGATCCGGTTTTCGGTGGCTAAACAAATCACGGATTGTGCGATACTATGGTTTTTTAGACCTACAATAATTAGGTACTTGAAAAGCTTGCCAAAATTTCGCAGTTTTAATAGTAGGGTTAGCTCGAAGGCGGACTGCTGCTAATCGTAGGCAAAATCAATTGCTGGCGCTCTATATTAATTAGTTTCCGCTCATTATAGCTTATAGGTTGAGCCAGATGGCTGAAATCAAATTTCCATTTCTAGATCTGATGCTACTGCTTGCCCCTTTAAAGCAATAGTGGACGACGATCTGAACATTGTCAGGGAAGAGGCAGGACCAAGCAAGTACAAGGACAGTGAAATTGTCGAATGTAAACATGAGCCTCCTCACTATGGACGTATTCCGAAGAAGTACGTACTTTTTTTGGGGTGCATTTTTTTGGAGGATCGTCCTGTAACTACTTTATCACAAAAAACGGCTGAAACCTTTATCGATCAAAGTAGATTAGACAATACGAAATTCCTCGCTTAATAGTCTGTCCTCTTTCCGCTGTAGAATGCGAGACCTTCTTCGATTCACAGCAGCCTAGCTTTCAAAATTTGTTGGGCTGAGCCAAGTCACCCTAAAGAATCTAGTATATCACTCGCCCTGTAACCTTGTTATTTCATGTACATTTTTTTTTATTTCATCATTAAATATGCTATGCGAGACAGCAGTGAGAGAGAAAATATGAAACAACCATAGCAGGAAAATAGAACAGCAGAAAACCTGAAACGAAACAACTAGACCGAATACGCTAGACACCTATGCATGTAGTGTTTGCTTCGCTGCGAATCGTTTAAAGGATGCACAAGAGCCTTGGATGAATGTAGATTCAGTTATACGCAAATGAAACCGAACCACACCGTGTGCTCTTCCTGACTCTTTTGAAAAAAAGGACCAGGAATAGAACCAAGAGGAACGGTGTCCAAAAACAAGATGACATTTCAACTCCACATTTCAGACTCAGCATGGTGTATCACACTTAGGTACCCAGAAACTCAACCGGCTTGACTCCATTAGTATTGAGCAGCAGCTGATCCAATCTCTCAAAAAAACATAAATACAATAGCTGTGTTCTGCCACGAGGATATCGCAAAAATTATCAATGGAAACATTCGTCGCAACGGTTAGAGCCGCAACTCACTGTCGGAATCCTCGCCAGATTCACTAGGACCTTTACGACGTTCCGGAAAGTTTGTTTATCTGGAGCTGGTACGGAGGGATGGTCTTAGCGATAGTTTTAAGTGTTCGTTCTAAGAAGATAAATCCTTTCAGTCAAAGAAATTTCGTAGCCCCAGACTTCAAACTGAAACAGATCACTTACGGCCTTCCTGAGACCACCGGCTTGATATTATTGACGAGGTGGTCGAGAACAGATGGAAAAAGGTGTATGCTATACTAACCAATATAGGAGGACATTCTTAGAAATTATTTTCCTCGTGAAACTTCAATCAACAGCGGCAAAAACGCTGACGATGAGAAGTTTGACGTCATGGGGCTAGAGTGTCTCTTGTTTGACTCTTTTGCCTGTAATATCGTTTCAGTAGACATTTTCATGCAACGAGTGATCCAGTGCAGAGAACATCTCCGTATGACTTGTAAAGATTTGCAAACCATAACATAGAGCTGTTGGCGGTACCCACAATGCTTGATTTCCGAATCTAGCCCTCTAAACACAATCTGATATACATAGTCATGTTCGAGTTGACTTACTGTGATTCCCGCGATTCATCCATCGTATTTGCCGGGCCTGTGATGAGGGCAGCGTGCAGTGTTCTAACAAGTGAAAAAGCAGCAATATTCGCACTCGAAGGATTTGGGATCAAGGTCAACCGTCACGGTTGGACCAATTTCGAAAGTTTTTACGACCCCCCTCTCCTTCCCCTCCCCCCGCTGGAGGGCCTCGATACGACCCTCCCCCACCCCCTCGTTGGACTTTGTCCAACGGACGGTTGACCCTGTTTGGGATGGGACTGCTGAAGTTCAACCTCGTTCAAGTCGGGCCTTCCTTCCCTGTGAACACGAGAGGAGTTGAGCACTGAAACCACTGCTTGCATATGTCACAGTCAACGCTGAAGTCAACTCGTTCGTCCACAGTTCGATCGCCAAACGTTTCGAAAAAAAGAATACAAGATAGATAAGCAACGACTTATGATATCAACGACGTCGTTATGACCCACCTATTGCTAAGGAAATCAAATTTTGGGGTTTTCGAACGGAAATCTCAAAACCACCTTATAGCTCTGACCTCGTGCCACTTATGCCCACCTGCTCCTCTCTCCAGGCCACCTCCTAGAGAAAACTTCCATTCCAACCATCATGACGTTGAAATGATATCTAACCTTCCTCGATCACTATTCAGTGGGGTTCTACAAGAGAGGCATCGATTAGCTTGTAATGCGATCGGTGAAAAGGTATAGGTAACTGGGGAGCACGCGTTTCAAATTCAATCGTCGGCTAATGAGGTCACGCCGCTCACGCGGCGGGCAGCTTCGCGCGCGGCAAATGGTGCGGCGATTTTTGTATGGGTCTTGGCACTTGACGGTCCTTGTCCATAAGTTGCTGGTGGGTTAAAAGAGAACTGATAAAGACCAAAGTTCCAGATATCAGTGAGTCAACAAGAGTCACCTTAAGATTTTCGCAGATTATTTAAGCCTCACTGTACAGAGCTTGTGCGATGTAAAGTTTGCTTTGTATTTTTGAATAATATGCGTGACTTCTTAATAATATGCATCAAACTGCACTGAAGAATGTTGATCACAGAGCGATTAATCTTGGTTAAATCGGAGAAAATAATTAACAGTTCCAAACGCAGATGGAAACAGTGACGGAAAGGCCATATATAACCTATCTATGGACAGTAAATAAGTTTGTAATAATGGCAAAGGACAAGGATCCTGTACTTTGAGGGGGCAGGTGATTCATATACCGTGTTTCACGACTGGAAACTTCGTCTAATCCTACATTCCCCAATGCTAGAACCCTGAATTCTAACCACGGCCGACGTCGCATCGCGGAGCTGCGGCGGCTGTCGCGGCGACCTAGCTATCGCCACGATTGAATAGTCACGCATCCCACACCAGCAAGCACGATCCTCCAAAGAACCCGTTTTTCAAGTACGTTTCGCATTTATTAAAAAGCACATATTCAGAACAGAAAACTCGGTTGGAGGTTGGCAAGGTACAACACTCGAGGAAATGACTTGCCAACGAGAGAACTGAATTCCTAGAGGTTGTTTTCTAAAATTTCCATTGTTCACTTTATAACATGGATTTTCGTAGTTAAAGGCGAAGTAAGAACCGGAAAAAAAGTCTGTCACTAATATATTAGGTTGGTACCGTAATTCGTGCAACGGATTAACGTACGAAAATCATATATAAATGTGAACAATAGCGAAAAATTTTAGATAACAACCTCTACGAGAATGCGAGTTACTCTCGTTGGCTAGATCAATTTATCTCGAAAAGGTGTGACCTGTAGCCAACCTCCCAACGAGTTTCTGTTCTGAAATATGATGCTTATATTAACTAAATCGCGAAACAGTTACGTTGAAAAACGGGCTTGCTTTTTAGCGATCGTGCTTGCTGAAAAAAGGTGATGTCTTTGGGACACAAACCTCCAAGCATCAATAAATTTTCACGAAACGGATTATGTCGGTATTGAATAGAACATTGTCACGAAAACTAAGAGATTTGGGCGCTTGAGTAAGTACATGATTTCTCAAGATTATGGGCGCCTATATACAGCAATACATTTCAAACTTTTGGGTAGAACAAACTCGAGATAAAACTGGGCGATCAAAAAAGCGCTGTGCAATTGATGACATTGAACCTTCGCAAGGAACATATGGTGGAATGGTAAGTAATGAGAGATTTTTGGAGTAAAGACTTCCAAGTAAGCTACAATACTGTAGAAGACAAGACAATGGCGAGTCGAAGCAGAACAAAACACAAAGAGAGAGAGAGAGGCTCGCGTTTAGAAGCGGCCACGCTGATCTCCACGGAAATGTAGCAGTGGTGTGAGGGCGTTGGCAGGGCGAGTCAATGCGCGTGCATTGATCTCAAGGCATGCCAGTAACCCTACCTCCCCTCGGGTATCCCTTACTTACTAGTCGGCGTGACCTGGTGTTCGCCCTAAAGTGGAGAAATGCCTCTGAGAATTTAAATTGACTCTCATCATGTGCAGAATGTATGTGGACAACAGCACTGAATCCGAAATGCTACATGTCACTGCGAAAGAAATGCATGCTAAAAAGCGCGCTTCTGGCTTTCAGCGCGCAGGCTTTCCTTCGGTACCAGTTCTTCAAGGCTTCCTTCAATGCTGCTTACACTGAAACAAAACTGATGACGAACTCGGCAGACCTTCCTTTCACTCATTGTCCACGCTGAGAAGTGAGCTGGTTGCGGACCTTATTAAAATAATCATTCCTCGGTGCGAGCAAAGTTGGGCTGCTGAAACGTGTCACCACTTCTACGGATGGATGACATAGCTCTGTGAGCCAGAAGGCAATCATCCTGCTAAAAAGCACCTCGGGTTAATATCCATTGTCGGGGTTCGGAGCTAAGTCCTTATTAACTACGCTAACACTCTCCTTCTCCGAGTTTATTGAAATGCCACCTACCGGATCGTACAGAAAAACATAAACGGAGTTCTTGACCACAGGGCGTGCTGTTCTTCAATGCACTGCTGGGCGAAGCGGACTGCGGCGAACTGTAGCAATCGTTGCTGGTTAGAAGCCAGCATTCATCACATTTTCTTATCTCAGAATGCACCGTCTGGGCTATCGCGGGATCCGTAGGGCTACGGTGGAACACTTGTGGTTCCCATCAAAGCAAGGATGGAGGCACATTGAATCCCGGGTGAGTGGTATTCACTAAGCGGAAGCTTAGCAGACCTTCTGCACTTTTCGACCCTCTGCTGCTTGTTGAGGGTCGTAAAAGTGGATGTAAGATAGGTAAATGTGGCACAATGCTTCAACCACGCGAGCGTAACGAGTATCAATACCTGGGTCGTGAGCAGGGAATCAACTCTAGTGGCGTTGTTACTGTTTTTGAAAATTTTCAGACCCCCCCCAATTCAATGGGTGAATTTGACACGACACCCTCTTACCAACTAGAACCACTCTCTGCTAGATTATAATTCTGGTACCACTCAAACCACCAGAACTTCCGCCTTTTTCCATCCAAAAATTTGACTTCAGACAAGGGGGGGGAGGGAGGTATATAAAAATTTCCCTTATCTGCCGCCATTATTCTCACTACATCAGTCACCTCAAAGACTACAACTATGTGATTTCAAGCAGACGAAAACGGGATACGACCTCCCCCCCCCCTACAAACTCCAACCGACTGGCGAGCCCCGTTGTTACTAAGAACAAGCGTAGGGTGGGACCCTACAGTCGTGAGTCGCCCGGGCCAACCAAGCCTTCCATCCCTCCCTCCGGGTCGGTTAATTGGTACCAGACTTGTCTGGGAGGATAAAAACACTGACTTGTACATCGGCTGGCCCCCGCAAGTCATTGTATAGGCCACATCGCATTCAAACGCCACTGCGAATGTACAAATGGAAGTAGAATGCGTGCCGCATCCCAAAACGGGATTGATCAACGGCAAATGCTTTATCCTTTTACCAGATTAGTCCCCCGTCAACCGCCGGGACCTTCCTTTCCTGCGCAAGCTTTCTATCCTCCGCTATGGTCCCTTCCTCCTGTGACACCAACACCTCCTGGAAGTGACGCGTATGCAACACAATGGTGTTTCAAACAGTAGAAGGGACACAATCATGATATGACGGTAGATTTTTCGCTTCCCTTCCTCATCCTCCCTTCCTCTCTCCACTGCCCTCCAGCTGCCACTGCAGCACCATGTGGAATGAACGGAAGTGTGCTAAGCAGGTGTTTATATAGCCCTAAGAGTGTTATCACAACTATCCTGCTACAAAACATTGATATCTCAAATCCTGTAAGCTACCCGATTTGTTAGCGGTTTGTTTATCCCATGAGCTTCCTTCTCACTCACTTCATTTTGCGGACGGACACACATACATACATACACACACACATACAGATACACAAACCGACACACAAAGTTAGCGCTTTATAAAATAGAAGGATATCTTTGTCTGGTGTTGATATTCCAAGACGAGATGGCACTCTTCCACATGCAGGAACGCCTATGAAGTTCTTTAGTTACCATCTGCCCCATCGATGATTTCGACTGTTCCACCCCCTTTGAGATTCTCGACGGAGCGTCATGTGTTTCGGTCAATTTGAGATTGAATGTTTCGGTCACCCTTCCCGCAAAATGACCAGGCTTTTTTTCCCTCTCCAGGCCTTGCGAAATGGTACACTGCTGCCTATTATCATTTGATAATCTTTCGTATAACCCTTGTGGTAGCTGCAAAATATTCGTCGTTGTCCTTTGTCGGGGGACCCGCCTCGTGCATGCCAATGATCGCAGGCCGCACTGAAAGACCTTCCGACAAACTAAAGACCATGGGGATTTCCTGCCATTGAGCCAGATATACAAGCAGAGTCTTATATTTGAGGGATGTCCATTAAGTAAATGAAGTGAAAAAATAATTGCAGTAGCATTTGCTGAATAAATTATTTGGCAATTTTGCGGCCGAACATATAATTTGGGACACCCTGTACTTAACTTTTGTTGGAAGGTAGGAGTGGATAAATTCATTGGAGTTTGAGGCTTTTGAAGAAGAGTTTTCCTGTTTGCAGACTGAAAGGAATTCCAAAAACATCCCACGCTCGTTTTCTGTCACAAATGTGTAGACGTTTTTGAGAACAAACACAAGTGCCCCGCAGAGGTCGTCACCAGGGCACAACTTCGCCTTCCCTCACGACTTTTAGCAGCAAAAGAGTCTCAGAGTGGGGAAGCAGATGAGTTTTAGACTACATTTCACCTGCAAAATACTGCCCTATATTATGTTGTATATGACTTCTAAAGCATTTTTTCTTCTCCGACGAAATCATTGACATTTCTTCATGCGAAGCAGTTCGATGCGATCAAGGTGTCGATGGTGTCTACTTTGTCATTAGGTGTCCCTGTAGTGAAGTCTTAATGATTATTCGGAACAGGCAACCAAGGTACTGTGGAACCCGAAAAAGTCTCGTTACAAACTATGCACGATCTAAATGGATATAAATCTATTGTTGCAGCTTTCGAGCGCTCCAGAGAAGGACACAAAAATGAAAACGTCGTGGCATCTACTTCTCTCCGTTGACTACGATGAAAAGATATAGTGAGTTATGAATTATAGTATTTGAATTGCAGAGAGGATAAGTATGCATATGTGTGTTGCCACTGATTCCCCCATGGATTGAGTCATGAGACAAATCTTGGCGGTTCAGGTTCGCTAAGCTTCCTTGCGGTAACATCAGGCTTCATTAATTGGTGCTAGACTGGTGTGGGAAGGCGGCCCTTAGACCGACGTCACACTCGGCGACGGACACTCGACCGGGAGTACTCCTGCAGCCGATTGCATCGACTAGGGGCGAGACCATTCGCAGGTCGCTTGTGCCCTTTGCAAGCCACTTGCCACTCGCGGCATAAATCGAGCGATTGCAAACGCGATAGGACAGCGAGAAGCGACTCGAACTATGTTCCGTCGACCGAGATGGTTGACGTCGTCTATACAGCGCTGGTTTTGGATGCACTACCTTAAAAGTGGTAGCAAGCAATACGGAAGCCAGTTCCAAAATTCTAGAAGTGGATTCATTTTTGAATTTATTTCGTCTAGGGACAGTTTTTCCCAGCAACTCAGTACGCTCAGTACAGCATGCTTGTCGACCACTTCTATGATGGTAAAGCCTCCGGAAAAATTCGAGACTTTTTTGCGGTGTGTTGCTTCCCAAGGACTTTCTTGATGAACTTTTCTACAAATTTTTGTATTTGTTTTTAAAGGCTGAGTTTTTGATTATTGTAATATTTGTTAGTTTGTCTTTAGAAGTGCTCTAAAATTTTACTGATATGTGATCCACCATTTGGAGTATTCTTGGAGCCACTCATGCATACTATAGAATCTCTCCAACAGCGCTACAAGGAAGCACGGTTAGTCTAGTTCAGCGCTGCGTATAATTTATTTCTACCGGAGATTTCTTTCCTTTTTCTTCTTTATATGTTTTGCAAAAAGTTGTCTAAATCGTTGTTTTCTACAAAGATGGCCAGTGATCTTCTTCCGTAGAAAGGCCATGGGTGTGAGACGCTAGGATAGAAAGTGATTTTTTTGCTTTTTGCAGCGCGGAAATTTCTCGCTGCAGAATCCCAGGTCCACTCATGATCAAGGATGGACCAGAGCTCTCAGCAAAAAATTTCGCGACGCGAAAAGCCAGACTGGCAATTTTTCTAGTATTACCAGCTTATTCCTCCCTATGAAAAACCCCTGTATCGCAATTTTGGCGGGAGCAGCTTTTCTTCGAACTTTTTTATAATTATTTTTCGATTTTTGCACCGTTTCATAATATAAGGTCACCCTGTGAAAATGAATACTACATTATCAGAAACAACCAACCTGCCTGTGAAATTGAATTTTGTTACAAACACACCCAGTAGCTAAATTTATGGAATGTTTCGTACTCGTCCTTTTGAAGAAAAGGTAAAGTTTATGCATTTCATGGTGCTCGGCACGGTTCGGGAGTCTTTCCAAAGCATTTCGGGAAGACTCCGAAACCGTGCCGAGCACTATGAAATGCAAAAAGTCACTAGCTCTGCTCATGGATAATTGAAAAGCTCTACGTCTCCAGATATTCTACAAGTTTCGAACATCCACAAAAAGGTTTCTATAAATGATTAGAGAAGAGTTATGAGGGCTGTCCCAAACAGTATTTCCTCTTGAAATCAGCGTCGCGCGTAATTTAATGTTTCTATCTTGAAAAATATGAACTGGAGAGCGGTGAAAAGATGCAGCAACATTGTCAGGAAAGCGACAAAGATGGTCCGAAGGCTCACTGGCCATTACGAGGAGGCACAACTTCAACCCGTAAAGTTGAACTTAGAGAGAGATTGAACAAAGTTGAGCCTGCGCCACAATCGCACCATACAGCAAGATAATTCCAGTAAAGTTGGTATTTTTTGGACAAAACTGGTTTATACAAACAGATCCTGCGGAATATAAACACTTTTGAAGTGACTTGCGAAGGTGGCCGATTCACTTCAGCGCTTGCAATTTTAGTTAAGGAAATGTGAAAGGTGTGGGTGCTTTTTGTAATGATGTTGTGTCAAAATTTCGCTTCCATGAAACTGCATAATGGACTCCAAAGATTAGCATAGAGCCTTGCAAGGACATCTGACCTCTCCCTTGAGCTGATGAAGTCGGCTAGCCTACGTAGTCATACAGAACAGCACAGGTACCCATGTAGGTCACTCAACCAGAAGCAGCATTTCTCTCGAAACCCAGATGAACTGAACAAATTTTTCTGAAGTTCTAGTCGTATTCTAGCAGAATATCTTACCAGGAAGGTCTTTCAGGGCGTGACGAGCTTTTTAAAAACGGTCTTACTTGATGGGAATATAGGAGCAAGATGCTGGAGCGGATCACAGAAGCAATCGCTTCAATTTTTCCTGACGGCCCTCTGGAATACCAGAAAAGGAGGTCCCTAGTTCGATTCCTCGTGGTAACAAATTTTTGCATTTCGAGTTGACGTGCCAAAATTCGCGCAAAATGGAGTTAGAACCAACCAGAACAATCAGAACTCCATTTTGCGCGAATTTTGGAACGTCAACTCGAAATGCAAAAATTTGTCACCAAGAGGAATCGAACTAGGGACCCCCTTTTCTGGTATTCAGAGGGCCGTTCAGGAAAAATTAAACATGGTTCTGTGGTCCCCGCATCTGCCCCTATATCATGCAAAAGACCGTTTTCAAAAAGCTCGTCACCCCTGAAAGTGACCACTTTCCTGGTTAGAAGCATGTTCCTCATGAAGAATCATGGGGATAAACGCTAGTCAGGAACTTCGAAGAGCTAAAACAAGCAACCCGTGAAGCACGAAGGTGAATCGATGGTCATCTGCCTTGGAATCTCAATTCCAGTAGGCCACGGAGACTATTCATTTGCCCTTGATTAAGGAGGAACCATACATTATTATGTCTATTTTATCTGTCATTAATCTTAGGTAATTGTTCTTTTCTCAGGGTGACCTTATATTATGAAACGGTGCAAAAATCGAAAAATAATTACAAAAAAGTTCGAAGAAAAGCTGCTCCCACCAAAATTGCGATACAGGGGTTATTCGTAGTGGGGAATCATTTGGTGATAGTGGAAAAATCACCAGTTGGCTGCTGGTCCCGGAAATGCAATATTTTAGGGTGACCTTATAATTATGAAACGCACTATACAGTTCGCTGTGATTCTGTGACCCAATAGCATGGCATTTTATTAGCTTTGTGCAACCTTACGACCTACTGCCAAAGCTTAATCTATTATTATTGCTAGTTACTAAATCATAGATAGCGATTAACTTAATAGTGTTAATTTCCCAGTCTTTAGCGGTGAGAAATCGGCGGAGTTTTACGGGTGCATTGTGATTCCGATGTTCGTTGGCAAGTACATTTTACGAAGCTATAAGGACTACTGGATGAGTGACTATAGAGTAAGTCTGCTATCTGCAGGTTTTTTTTTCGTAAAATTAACTTTTTTCGTTTTCGGTGACATACGACAACCACAAAGTGTTTGCGAAGGCTTCAAAAACCACTGTTAGATGCTTCACGAACCTGAAGCCCGATGTGTTCGACTTGTCCAAAGTGAACGGTTACAAGTGAGTTTTTCACTAGTCGGCTTTGAATGAACTTCGCTTGAATTCCCTCTTTCAAGGTTCTGCGAATTCTGCGAGAGGTACGTTTCCAATGCCAACAAACACTGCTTCATGTGCTCAGCATGTACATCCAAGGTGAGCTCATTTATCAAACAAGGATGATACTACTACATATAATGGGATGTGAAAGAAGGGAAGGTACACATATACAGAAGGACGGTGGACCCTTGAGAAGAGCACAGTTATGCATAGCCGTGGAGGGTGCGCCCGTCGCCACGTAGCTAACCCCAACCGCGACCTGTCGTGGTCTGATCCGCCCTCCTCGTCGTACTTTGCTCGTGATTTTAGGATTGCATTTATGTTGAGCGGCCGCATCTTTTAGTTTTTCTAACGATATGCCATGTATTATCAACGGAAGCATAATGTTTGTTGGCATGGTACCAGGCTATCGGGATTAGTACGTGCAAACGAGCCTGTCTTGGTCAGTGGCTTGTCAGATACTTATGTAATGTCAGAGTTTAAATCCTATTTTCTTGATCCTTATGTAATGTCAGAGTTTAAATCCTATTTTCTTGATCCTTGAGGGCGGATCACGATTAAATTGATGAAGTTATCTCATTCAAATGTCAAAGTATGGATGGGAGGCGGACCGCAAGTGGAGAAAAAAGGAGAGGAAATCGTGAAAAAAAACTCACGAGAAACGTACCTTCTTCTTCAACGCTGCGGGGAAGTGTAAAAATGGAGTTCTTTCAGGGTAGGAGCGCTTTTTCAAAACGGTTTTCTGCGTACTGCAGGGGCTTTCACGTAAACAACAAAGCTGAGCTTTTTCGCTTGGTGGCCCCCTGAAGGCCAGAAAGGATCGAAAAAATTTGTTCAGATTGGGTGATTTCACAGCGTTGAAATGATGTATGGAGTTTCAGAGGAAAAGCACCCGGTCCTGTTAATGAATATGACTTCTACTGTTGGTGCTGACACATTGGAAGGAAATTTGGAGGCTCCAACCTGAAATGCAAAATTTTTGTTCCCACGAGGGATCGAACTTTGGACCACTTTTTCACAACTTTTTGGCCTTCGCGGGCCGCTCAGCGAAAATGGACGCGGTTTGTAGTCCGCGTATGAGTTCCTAAAGATGCAGAAAACCGCTCTAACAAACCGCTCTCACCCTAAAATACCTCTCTTGTAAGAGGCAGGCATGGAGATGAGAGATTGTGAGTCGCGGAGAGGACGGATTCCGATGGTTTCGGTGGGATATGATCATGGTTAGCGCCCAGCGCGTGAGTGACGCGTTTCAATGTGCGAAGGTGGTGAGACCTTTGTAATGACGGACCACAACCTCTATCCACGCGAGCGACTACTTCAGTGAGGCTGAGCCAGGACCTTCCCTTTATTCCACTTTCTTTCGGATTATCTTGATCAGTACGCCCTCCTGCACCTCTATTTTCAGCTACAATGGGCAACGATTTTTGGTACCATCTACCTTAAAATAGTTGGTCCTATTTTTCGTATGCATGCTCGAATACTTCGATTTCGAGCGATCCCCAACTTCATGAGTTTACACTTGCACCAAGTGTTGGTGAAACTCAGAGGGACTGTAAATATAAGCCTATTGTTAAATATAGGGTTATTGTTCGATGAAATCTCCCTGAATCCATCTCCATAACTTAGGTGAACCCAGATCTGGCGCTGTTTGCGGCCTCAGTTGGAAAAGACTTCAGCAGTACTCGTATTGTATTGAACCTCTCTTGCGCGTACAGTCGAAATCTCGAAGTCAGATTAGGCGTGGCTACGGATTTGACGTGGCCTTTGCCGCACTTGATAAAAGCCGTGGGATAGGGATGTTTCTAACGTACTCCATTGGATATCAGCAGAGCATGCTTATCCGCGCGCAACTTCCATCAAATGCGGCGGCCGCCACGTCAAACCCATAGACACGCCTAATCTGACTTCGAGATATCGAGTATATGTGTGCTCTTGAACTTCACTCAGAGTGGGAAGACCATTGAATGCTGTTGACATTTGTGCAACACCTTTGAAGAGAAAGCTTTTCACAACGCCCTAATCCAAATTACCTCCAACGGGTTTGGGTGAAAGTTGCTTCCTCAACGAAGAACATCGAGCCAACTTCATCTGCAGTCGATTATGCGCGGAAACGAATCATGAATTTATACTCGTGTCAAGCGGAGTGTGAGTCGTCGGATATCGTCAGATTACATCGCCTGTTGCCAACCATTTGTATGCTGTGAGCAAAAACGGCTCAAATGGATGTCTTGTCGGGATGACATGATAGATATCCCAGGAAGACGCACGTGTCATCGTTTGCGGCTTTACATTCCCGTCCTGGATGGTAGGCCGTTTTTATGCTGTATTACTCTGTACTACCACAGTATGAATAGTATATAGAATCTAGCAACAGTTGTAGAGGGAACACCGAAGCTCGACTTCCGTGAGCAAGTGACATGTTGTTTGTGAGATTATGGAAAGTGAAGCGCAGGCGTAGATCCACCTGGACGGAACACTGTCTATTATACAACGAGAAGCAGACGTGAACTCTTTATCAGAAACGAACCTATCCTTCATTTATAAGGAAATCAAACGATAAAGCAGATTGGACCAGCTACCTTGAGAGAAGGACTTTGTATCGCCCCTTTCGTTCATTTCCCAGTCGTGTACAGATATTTAGGCAGCAAATGAAGAATACAATGTAGAACTTCTCTAGCATTCATTTTGTAGTCCCACCAGCCTTTAAAGACGATCGTCGATAAAACTTTAAATCTCTTGGCCGCAGCTCGTTAACATCCATCAGGTTATCCGTAAGTACAAAATCTTCAGTGTTGTGGATAGCAACAAGCGTTTGTGTTGTTTTACTTATGCCACGAGGTTGCTACGTGAAACAATTTATTCTGACCAACCTTCTGTTATAAGTAACTGATCATAAAGAAAATGCCGAGGTTTTAAGATGAGAAGACTTGAATTCGCCACGAAATATTCTGCAACGGCAATGGGCATAAATATACCGCGGTATTGTTTCTAATTCGTCGTCCCTGGCATGATGAAAGCTTATCAATTTACTTCAAGTCTACGTAATTTTTCGAGATTATGCCAAAATCTCTGATTTCTCAAAACCTTCTGCTGAGGGTAATATAGTGCTCTGATCAAGAATATGGCAATCATCTTAACATCCGTAATGTTTTCTCCTTCAGCGTTGGCATGACGTCGCTTTAGCAACACAACTTTTTGCTTTTTTTGGTAGGAATTATAACACTTACATATGTAGGGGTTAGCTATGGCTTCCACCCAAACATGGCGTCTATACCTGGCACTGACACCACATGGTACCATCATGCAGGCGCCAACCTGGCATGAAAAATTTTGTTATTACGGGGTGTCGAGTTGAGATTGATATTTTCCATTTCTTTTTGGCTCGAAAAGACCGTAGGAGCTCTGAGATTCTATGCCCGCTTCCCTCCGATAGGCGAAACCGTTTTGAAAAGCGGTCACAGTCTCGAACGACTTTCTAAGGTCACGTTTTATTTTGTTGCACCTAGGTATATCAATATATAATAATACACTTATAAACACTGTTGGGCGGAGTGGTGTAGTGCAAGTGGCGCGCTTACCACGCGAGCGGTCCGGGGATCAAATCCTGGGTCGTGAGTCGCCCGGGCCCAAGCCTTCCATCCCTCCGGGGTCGGTTAATTGGTACCAGACTTGTCTGGGAGGATAAAAACACTGACTTGTACATCGGCTGGCCCCCGCAAGTCATTGTATAGGCCACATCGCATTCAAGTGCCACTGTGGAATGCTTGTCGCATCCCAAAGAGATTGATCAATGGCAATACTTCATCCTTTATCCTTGCAAGTAACTGTTATGTACTATCATATCACCATTATTTCTAGGATGGTTCCCCGTACAAGCACTGTGAACTGTGCATGCGTTGCGTGAAGAAAAGCTATCGACACTGTAAAAAGTGCGAACGCTGCCATCTGGAGGGTCGTTGTTTCAACGGCGAAGTTCAGGAGTGCGAAGAGCAATAGTTTCTCATGTGTCACTTCTTTCCAACTTGTTACAAGAGTATGTTACTGTAGGCGTTATCTTGTTCTACACCTAGGACGTTTTGAGAAGACACGAAGTGCTTTGTGACAGATATGTCAAGAGATAAACCCTTTCGGCCCCTCTGGAGCAGGGTCAACCGTTACGTTGGACCGATATTGGAGCGACGTTGGACCGATGTTGACCGCTCTCCGCGCCGGCATTCACACTCGCCACCCGCGAGCCGTCTGTGTCTCCGTGCGTACGTTCACTCTCGGCATTACTCTCACACGCTAGAGAGCCATGCGTTGGACTTTGTCCAACGGACGGTTGACCCTGCCTGGCGGTGGCAATTGCCACCACCAAAAGGTCTGCATTATGTACTGCTGCGACAACATATTTTAATTACTCATTGCTAGAGGTAGAGGTCGCTTCAGACATCCTATTCATTCCGAATTTCGCTTTGCACCCGCCATTTTATTCCTGAATGAAGAAATAAGAGCAACAAAAAGAAGTTTTCCTCATTGAATATGATGCGCAGCTGAAAGGGTTAAGGGTTCGCGTCCTCTCATCAGTGATTGTTTTATGCGTTGTTGATTGTTTTTGTTATATGTTCTCTAATAAACCTCTTGTTCACTTATTGTTAGGATAAACGTAGGGAAATTCCGTGTTTTGTCACTGTACGTGAAAATGGACGCAGTTCCACCAACTTAGAACTATGATGCAAATGGTTTCAGCTAACTGTGATTTGCAGTGGGAAGGAAACAAGCGCGCTCTTTTCTAACTATTCGTGTCGACAAGTCGCTGTAAAAGGTATGACGTGGGAACCAGCCTGGTATTTGTTGGTGTAGCTGTCTGGACTAGGAAAACTCTACATCAGTTGTTGATGATCGTGTAGTAGGTAGTTCACTCGGAAAAAATAATCAGGTATAGTTTTTCTATTGTGCACATGCCTTCTGTGACTGCACCCCTATCCATCGGCTCCCACGGCATATGCAAATCGACTCGAGCTGGTTTTACGATGAAAAGGCCATTAGAAATTAAGGTAGAGGTAGTGATGCACGAAAATGGGGCCTTCCTAGCCCGTTGATATGCGCATCGATGCGGCTCTCATCGTCGGTGATGATCATTGGAGTTCATGACAATACTTTTCCCCTCAGATGTGTTTTACGAAAAGCAAAGGTTGTTATGAAAAAGACATACATATTTCCTTTTTGGCAGAAGTTACTTCAAGGAATCCTCAAACACACGAAAAAGCTACAACTGAAAAATCCTCTGGAAAGAGAGGTAAAGCCTCTTGAACACTCGGTTCCAAGACGCGTTGGTGGAATGAATGCTTTTCTTTTAACGCTGGGTTTATCCTTATCTTGAAGCAGGAAAAGAGCTCAGTTTTTTTTCATTGCCATATCCTACAGAATCCTTAAACCACTGCGTATACTGGACCCAGAAAAGGCCATTGGACCCAAGAGATTACGCAGTATAACTGCTTGACCATACTTCCCTATTCTTGTAGAGGTTTCCTATTCTCTTAAATCCGGTTTTTCCTTTTATTTTTCCATCAGCTGAAAAGAAGCAGCGATAACAATCAAAATGTTTCATGAAGGAAAACTGGACAACGGAGGGATATGAAGGAGCACATGGCTGGAAGAGGAGCCGCTGCATGATTTTGTTCAATCGCCAAAAATGGTAATTTTCTGTTTGACGGTATTTTTCCTCAGAAACCCTCTGAAATAAGTGCTTTGGAATTTTGACTTGTTTTTGATTTAAATGTTATGAAACACAAAGAGGCACCAAAATTTATTCCAAAAGAGTCCCAAAAGTTCACAAATTATTCGAAAAACTCCAAAATTCCAAAAAACACGAAAAGTTTCAAAAGAACTCCTTTGAAATCTTCTGCTATATTTCGGTGTTTAACACCTTCTTCAGGCCTGAAATACATTGATTTAATCACTGGTAAAAACAATATGATGGTTTCCCGAACCCATATATGTACCTACATGTGTATGCCTCAGCCAAGGATTTAGCTGCCCTTACGGGAGCCGCGCCGTTGGAGTGGAATTAAGTGACTTACCGCTCACCCTCTGCTTAAATAGTAGCGGACGTACTGTGACGGTCATTGCATGTGATATTAAAAATACGTGACATTGGGCACGTAGTTAATTTAATAGTTGTAGAGCGTCACGTAGTTCGTCCTTACTATTTATTTCGGGTGATAGTTTTCTTATTTCTAATGCCTCCAATAGCCTCCTTTCCACCGGGTTCCCTATGGAGCGGTGTAGCACCTTAATGGTCAACGAAGGCGGTTCTCCATATGTGTGCTTTGTGGTGCGGTGCTTAGAGAAGCTACTGTTTGCGTTGTTTGTAACGGCCCTTCTGTTTTATCACCCCACCCGCTTAAAAAGTCCTTTTTTCCCTCAACGTACTGATCCGCATCTCTTGCATTTCCAATCAAAAATATCGGTACCTCTCTCAATTTGCAAATTTTATTGAAGTCGTCAGAATCACATCCTCCGCAAATTTCCTTCATTATTTCTTTTATATCTTCGAGCAGATATCTGAACTATGGGTGGCGATGAATATAAGGCGTATGGGGAGCTTTGACCTTTTGACCACACCATTAACTTTTTGTGCCGTACTCTCGTTCAGATACGGCATTACCATAGGAACACCATCTGGTGTTGAGTGTGGTCTCCATGTGCCAATATTGTGAACATGTGTACTTATGTAGCCGTTGTCCCTTAAAATTTGGTCCACCACCGCGACATCTACTTCTTCCCATCTTTGTGTGCATACTTTTTCTTTTGTTTTTAATAAATTGCGAACTACGTTCGCTTTCATATATGAGGGGTGACAGCTTCTGGCATGTAGTAGTACATTTTTTGACGCTGGCTTCTTATACCAAGAGCGCATTGATTCGAATTCTAACCTTTTTTTCATAATGTAAAACACAATTGAGGCAGTCAAAATTTATTTGCAAAAACTCAAACTTTATACAAAGAAATGCAAATTCTTTGAAAACGTTTCGAGTGTCACTGGGCATACTTCAAAATTGCACATGCAAAAGCATGCAGCAAAAACCAAAACTTTCTGCAAAACTCATTTTTGCAATTTCTTTTGTAGAAAGTTTTGAGTCTTTTGCAATAAATTTTGAAGTCTCACATTGTTTAATACACATTTAGATCGACATGTAGACTTCGGGACAGAACAATTCTAAGAAGATAAAATTAAAATCAAAAACGTAATGAAATCCCTTACCATTTGTTCCTCAATCCTGGTGTAATTTTTATATTGGGCTCTGCGATAGTTTAAAGAGTAGTTTGCATTTTTCGACCCTTCGCAGATCCCAATATAAAATTCACGGTTGAGGAACCAAATGAGGAGGGATTTCTCCCCTTCCTCAATACAAAAGTTAGAATCGAAAATGGAGCCAAACAGCTTTCTTGGTATAAGAAGCCAGCGTCAAAAAATGTACTACTACATGCCAGAAGCTGCCACCCTCATATATGAAAGCGAACGTAGTTCGCAACTTATTAAAAACAAAAGAAAAAGTATGCACACAAAGATGGGAAGAAGTAGATGTCGCGGTGGACCAAATCTTAAGGGACAATTGCTACATAAGTACACATGTTCCAATACTGGCAATGTAGACCACACCAACACCAGATTGTTTCCTATGGTAATACCTTGTATTCTTTATTTATATCTCGAGTACGGGCAATTATCAAAAATTAATGTTGGGTCCCTAAGTCAAAGCTCCCCTCATACGCCTTATATTCCGTCCACCACCCAATCTCAGACATCTACTAACCTATTCAAGACCGTATGAAGAAAAATGTGGCAGAGGAAATTGTGCATACTGCAACGACAATAAAATTTGCCAATTGAGGGGTACCGTATATTTGATAGAATGCCAAGGATGCGGACAAAAGTACGTTGGGGAAACAAAAAGGCCTCTTTACAAGCGTTTGGATGAACACAGAAGGGCATTACAAATCCCAGGCCTCGTATCCAAACAGCAATGAAGTGTCGACGCCTGGTCCTCAAAACTTTTGAGTCGCGACAGTGTCGCGCCCTCAGTGCTTGGGGCGCCCACCATCGCACCCTGGGAAGAACTTCTGCTGGTTGTCTAATCCTAACTCGTAGCTTTAAAGCTTAATACCAAGTTCTATGAAAGCCCACTCCCTTCGACGTCCCTCCAATAATAAGCGCCCCAATGGCATGCAAAGCCTTTGTTCGAATATGTGAATGTGGCGTGCGTCGATAAGCATTTTATTGACGCCGCAACCGACCTACGTGCCCAAGTCTGATGCTCAAACTACAATTCTTTAAAGCCTGCGCCTCGTTGATCAAATCGCTTTTGGATGCCTGCACGCGCGCCATCGCTGTGCCTTTAATTCAACTCCGTGTATAACTATGTGACTGCTAATACTGTACTGTACTTTTTCTGTGATTGACCAATAAATAAATAAAATAAAAATAAAGGAATCCGCCATAAATAAAAGTTTCCTTAGTGTTTTGTTTGCCAACTGAATGAAATGAAAGAATGTTCTTGTAAAACATTCGCGACGCGAACTGTAGTTAACAAAGAAAACATGTTAAAGTTGATATCTGCTAGATCTTTCCAGCCTTGTGTCCTTGCTAAATCCAAGCTAACAGCTCATCAATGTACAGTGAGTTTCGATAACAATGGCCAAATCTACATTAAAACCTGTCAGAGCGAATATCGGTCCTCGAGTAGTCGGTAACTGTGCGCAATTTCGCCGTGAAAATTCAGCGAAGTGCGAGTTTAAGTCCGTCTGAACGAAATTCTGTTTCATAATACCACATGTTAAATTCCTCATGATGTTGTTGCCGGCAGAGCAGTGAGTAGTGACGCGGATGGAAAGGATAAAGTAATTAAATAGAGGACAACGCTTAGGGTTGCAGACCCACATTCATGCAAAAATGGAGCGGGTAAAGGGCTCTTTCCCCGCTCCAGCTCCCATTCTTATCATCGGGTGTGCCT